GGAAGTCTTTGACACATATGAAACTATGCTCTTCATTCAATATATTGCCCCATTTCCGTAAGTTGCAAAGTTGTACGTGTTGTAGTATATGTGACACACACTGGTCGCAGAGTTTTACCAATCCCAACATTCTTATTCCCAGAACATGTTCTGTTAGAGCAGACTAGCTAAGAATGCTGCATCTCCATCCTCTTCCCTTCCCCAAAAAACCCAGTCTTATCTTTCTTGGAGATGTGAAACATACCAGGAGGAAAAAAAAAAAGGGTTTTTTAAATAAAATACACATTTTCGTCTACTGTATATATATTTTAATTAAGAGTAACGTCAGTGGTTCTGGGTAAGTGTACAAGTCACGACTGAAAATGAGACTAAATAGTGCTACAGAAGTGCTGGTGCACTGTATGCAGTCATAGTTTGAATGCTTCCAGGTTTTTTAGTGGTTGAATCTCAGCCCTTCTCATCTAGTTTTAGGAGAGCACTTCATCTTCCATTTGGATGTGCTTGGTTTTGCGTTGAGCTATGCATAGTGCAGTTTTAATTTCTTTAGAATAATTTTGTGCAAGTTCTACTTCTTCCTTTTTGTTTTAGCAGAACTGTAAGATGTGATTACAGAATTGTACATTTCAGACTGTATTCTTGAGCAGCTTTATGTACATTTGTGGACATACTGTGGTGCTCTTTGGACTATACACAGATTTGTTTGTTCCTCTACCACGTTTTCCAGACTTCTGCTCTCTTTTGGAAATTACCTTTTCCTGCTCCCATTTATTTAGTATGGGCAAGAAGATTATAACTTGCTTGATGTAGATAGTCAGTGAAAGTTTTAATTGCAGCCTAAGAACAAACTGGCACTGTTGAGAAAAAGTTAAAACCTTTCCTAACAAATACAGTTTTCTGTGCAGTGAGAGACCTGTGGAAAAGTGTAAGGCTGATCATCTTTGCCTTACATTTTTTTCTTCTTAGAGCATTTCCTTACTTTCAAAATGGTTGTGTTATGCTATGATGAGCAAGGCAGTAAATTGAAGTTGAGCTGAAGATTAGAAATGGCAGTAAGCCTGCATTTAAGATTGATAGCAGACTTCATTGTTTGAGAATTGCCTCTTTAATTGAAAAAAGTTAAGTTCTACCTCTTGAGAGTGGACTGGTTTTTTGAAGAAACTTAAGAACAGAGTGGAAAAGTAAAAGAAATGAACCACTAATTAAAGGCTTTTAGTTTGATCTTTAGGACTTTTGGGGGGGAGAGGAGGGTTGTCAGTCAGTGGTGTTGATGAGGCAATATGTGTAAGAAGTTTAGTACCTGACACAAAATTTCATTTCATGACGGTAGAGAAAGCTCATTAGATCTAACAAAATCGTGAGCTTTTGGAAAGTTGCAGGCAGGATGAGTTAGGTCTCATAGATTTTCTTTATCTGGCCTTCTTAGTTATATCTACTGATTAAGTAAAATCCAAGTTCCTTAAAGCAAATGCAGATCTTCAATTTCACTTAGTCTAGCAACTACAGGACACTGGTTGTTTCATGAGTCATGGTAGAAAATAGTTTTGTAATGGTATAACAGAAACCAAGTTCTCTAGTATATCTGATCTTTTTGTGCGCATCAGTGCTACTACCATAAAGCGCTTAGATTTTATTGCCTTGTTTTTTTCTGGCAAGTTACAAGGTCACTTGTGAACTACTTAATCTATGACTAGACATGAGTGTATTTTCTTTAAAATAAGCATTGAGGTTTTCCTTTCTTAAAATAATGCTTATTCCTTATAACTTCTGAAATGTGAACTGTATAAACTGGAGTCTCATGGATTGTGTAAGCTCCTGTCATTAGGGACTTGATGCTCAGGAAAATTGCTGCTGCTGATAAGCTTGCATGTTGTTCTTTTGCACTTTAGTATTCCTTTTTTGTCAAAAATGTTTTGGGTTTTCTTCCCCACTTACTGTAGTTTAACCCCAGCTGACAACCAAGTACCACCCAGCCACTCTCTCACTTTCCACTCCTCCCTCCTCACAGTGAGATGAGGATGAGAATCAGAAAAAGGTAAAACCTCTGGGTTGAGATAAGAACAGTTTTACAATTGAAATTAAGTAAAATATAATAGTAATAATAATAGGGAAAAAGAATAAAACCCAAGAGAATCAAGTGATTCACAATACTGTTGCATAGCACCCACTAGCCAACACCAGTCTGTGATCGGCTCCTCCCAGCCAATTCCTATCATTTTATCTATGGGGCATGGCACTCCATAGTATAGAATATCCTTTTGGCCAGTTTGGATCAGCTGTCCTGGCCATGCTCCCTCCCAGCTTCTTGTGCACCTGCTCACTGGCAGAGCATGAGATATTGAAAAGTCCTTAATATACTGTCAGCACTAGTCATCAACTCAAACATCAGTGTGTTATCAACACTCAAATCAAAATACATCACTGTACCAGCTGTACTGTTCTGTACTCAGAACAAAATTTGCTCTATCCCAGCAGAAACCAGGACAGCACTGTTAGTAACCAAATCACAGTAAAAATGTTTTATCAGTCTGTAGAATGAAGTGAATTAAGTGAGTCATTAAACTCACAGCTTATATTTAAACTAGAGTAGGGCCAGACTGCCACCTCAGAGAGCTGTCTCCATTACTATAGTTGTGTGTTTCTGTTGTATCCCTTGTTTCTTAACTTAACTTAGCAGTCAGGCGATCACATGGTTGCTTTGTGGTGTGTTGCTGAAAACTGGCTCCTTACCATTTCTTGCTACTGACTTGTTGACAGTGAGAAGACACCATTGCCAGGGACTGAGTGTGCCAAAAGTGTCCATTTTGGTGACAGTGCAGTCATAAACTGATTGAAATAATAAAAATATGCAGCCCCTTTTGTCCTGGGTGTGCATGTACACACCAATATATGCAGAGATAAGCATCCAAGTCACATGTGGCTTATATATGGTTAAATGTTTTGCACGTGCTCTTAATATTTCTTTCTACTTTCACAGCCCATTGGGAATGTGAACTGTGCCCTTGTTCTAGCAGCAGTCATTACTTGATCTGTCTTCCTGTTTAAAATTCAGTCTGTGATCTGACTTGTTTCTGCTGATAGCTGCTTCACATTTAGTTAGATGCCTGAGCATAACTTGAGTAATGTGTCTCCAGCTTATGGCAGGATGAAAACAAAACAGTTTGTACACCTTACTTGAAAGATCAGTCTGACAGGATATTGAAGAATAAAAAGTAATTTTTGCAGAGACGCAAGAGATGTCCTTTGCAGAAAGTTTATTTTTAGCTTTTAATTTCAAATGGCAGGTGAAATGTACTGTAATAACTTAAATTCCCTTATACACTTTTTCATAAAGCATACTCTGTTTCAGCTCAGTCTAAGACCCAACTCCCCCATAATCTGCAGATATTTTTATCAACTTGCTGAGAGTGAGGACAAGATTAATTAATACCACTGAATAATAGTTTGGTACTTGACACTCAGAACAGTGCTACCTTTATAATTTTTCTTCTGTAGGAAATCAAAGGCAAATACAGGAGTTACAAAACAAACACTTTTGAATGAATATTTACAGTGTAAACTAAGTTACAATGAAAGAGAATGCTTATATGTAAATCTTTCAGAACCTTGCACAAATACACTCTGAAAAAAATCTGAAACTGTGTTGATAATCCAAATGGAAGGTCTCCTGGGGTGGAGGGGAAAAACCCTATAAGTCACTATACAGAAATGCTTGAAAAATTACTGGATTGTAAAAAGTAACTTGCTAAACTCAAGTTCCTCAGTTATCAGCCTCCTTTGCAGAGATCTTTGTAGTAAACAGACTGGAAGAATTAATAAAGGGAGTTCTGCCATAATTGTTTTACACTAAAAGGCTCTTTGGAGGGGTATGTGAAGTTACATAACCTAGTTTGGCTGTGTCTGAATGTACAATGTTCATGATGCCTTCAAGTCTTTGGTAGTGGTGAAGATGGCTAGGGTGGGTAGGTCTTTCTTGTGCTGTGAGTGGCATGCTCAGAATTGAATTTGTTTTAAAATTTTGTTCTCTTTGTAGCCTACAGTTTGCAGTAGCTGCCTGCAGGCTGGTACCATTGCCTTTGTTGAGTGCATTTCTGATCATATTCTAGAGTCCCTGTGGGATTCTTTCTTTGCTAGTCTTAATGTCCACACCTCCACAAACTCTCCCACATACTCTGGAAAGTCTTCAGAATGCTATCTTAAAACTTTTCATTTGCCTCTTTAATCAAGTATAGAAATTAATTAACAAGGACAATACTGTTTGTATAGCAAACCCAGAGCAGGATTGGCAAGAGCCCCCCATCAAATAAGCAGATTGTAATATAAAAATCTTTTTAATGTTTTCATTACAATTATGAAATAAAATTGTAATATCCTTTGATGTATATAAGCTTTTGTTAGAGGAAGGCTAATTAAAAACAGTAACATGTATATTATTGATTATTGGTGAAAGAAAATAGTCATCATTGTGTCAGAATTCACTAAAATGGAAAGACTACCAGGAAGAATTAGATAGTGTCATGAAGAAATCCGTATCAGTCTTTACTTCTAATTTTTGGAAAGGATTTTAATGATTATAGTATTGCATTGAAATAAGCCTTTTGTTGACTTGGTAATCTGCCTGATTTGTAACATTTTATTTTCTTGGGTTTTTTTCCTACTTAGCTTTTGCAGCATGATTGTTTTAATAGCTGGAAACATTACTGCAAAGACTGATTTGATACTCCATGTAGTATTTCCCATGTTACAATCTCTGCTTGCTTTTTTTTTTTTTTTGTACCTTACCTAAAGATTCATCCTGTTTTTAAAATTGGGACAATGGGAACTTCCTATTTATAATACTTCCTTGAAATTACATATTTTGTTAATATTCACATTCTTTTTCATCACACCAAAATACTTGAAGAACAAAAGAATAATGATACATTGTGTAAATACAAAAGGTTGTTAATGAAAATGGTGTGATTTCCAGTTTGATGCAGTTTATTTTGTGTGTTGTGCTGCAGGTCTATCAAATGGTTTTGGAGATGAAAGCAAAGAGAGAGCATTAGATGATACTCCAGGAAGAAAAGTTGAACCTCGTCGCCGCTGTGCATCAGAATCTAGTATTTCATCTAGTAACAGTCTCTTGTGTAACTCAAGGTAAAACTGTAAATATGAAATACAGATTTGAGACTGGATATATCAGTTTTCTATAGTGCTTGTGACCCACATTGGAGGATTGCATCAATTTTGGAAAAAAGAGTGTATTTCAATTTTCTCAAGTTTTGTCAGATCTGAGATCCCTTTTAGGTTTGCTGGGATTCTTCTGTTGAATTCAGGTTAATTATTGCATATCCAGGCAGTTACATTTTTAAACTGTCTGTGCTTCTCTTGCTCTGTAAAGATACAGACATGTTTTTGCATATAGCATCTTGGCTTAATTACCTTCCTAATCCAGAACACTAAAAATGTGTGTCTTTATTTTTGTGAGGGCAAGAGAGAAGCAACTTACAAAGCAGAGTCTTGTAGACAGAAAAGATGGTACCACAGCTTTGGAGCTGTAGGTTGTCAGTCTGTGGGTTGCTGACTAGGTACTACAGTGTGGATAGTAACTCTGTACCAACTATTGCCTTTCTCTCCACGGAGTCTGTTGTTAAAGGCAGGACTGTCGAAATGGATACTTCTGCCACCATTGATGTCTCCAATGGTGTATCTTCTGAAAGAACACTAATTTCTGGGTGATAGGTAGCTATCTCCAGTCCTGGGCTATGAGACATACAGGAGAGTATAGGGTAAATCCGTTAGACAGAAAAAGAGGGCTTTATTCGTGTGTTCAGGTTAAGGGAATGGTGTTAATACAGTCACGTCAAACAGACTTTCAGAAACAAAGATAATTTAATAGTGCATCTATTTTAAATGTGATATTCTAGATCAAATTGTCAGTATAATTGTTCAGATTCTATGATTTATTGAAAAAAACTCAAGTGTGTAGAAAACAAATTTCCCATTTTGAGTAGAGGCATTTTACAATTGAAAGACTGGAATTTTTTAGTGAAAAAGTAAAGAGAGAATGGGTGCATTTCCTGTGTAGTAGAACTGTTGGAGCAGTGGAACTGACTTTTGCTGATAACCAGGCAATTCTGTGTATGAAAATAATCAGAGCTTTGCCTTTTATGTTGTTTGTATTTGTTACTCAAAATATTTTTAGAGCTTGCTCCACTAATTTTACTCTGTACTGATGAAATTTAAGGTCTAGTTCAGAATTTTGATTTATAAGGACCAATGTTAATTATCAAGTAATGATTTTAATATTAATACTTTTGTAGTTTTAGTCTGCCGAAGTGTGGTAAAGGTAAACCTGCCCTGATACGGAGACATACACTGGAAGATCGAAGTGAGCTGATATCATGCATTGAAAATGGAAACTATGCCAAAGCAGCAAGAATTGCAGCTGGTAACTATAAATTATTGAATTCTTAATAGTATTGTGTGATTTTGTCCATTTATTTGACAGATTCTTACATTATTATTTTTAATGCTTAAATACGTTAATCCTTCTAAAAGTGTTGTTGATATCCTTCCAGAAACACTGAATTCTGCTTTTGACTCTTTAAAGACTTTTAAAGAATAGCATCTGACTCTGATTTTAATTAATTTTCTTTCCTTGCTTGAGGAAATAAAGAGGTTTTGAAATAAAAAGAGAAAATTAGTTTTCTTTTACGGATCTTGTAAAAGAAAATTAGTAATCCTATGTGCTAGATTAGTAACCCCTTACTAACATGTGGAATATTCTGTGACTTGGAAGAATTCTGAGGCTCTTACTTGTATATACACCTGAGAAGTCTCTGAGTCTGGCTGAATGCATCTTGTCAACTTGTGTATGATTTTCTATTCAGCATTAAAACACCATTTCTTTGCAGCTGAAGATAGTGTAGATTTCTTTCTTATTAGCCCTCCTGAAGAAGAGGACTTGTACTGTTTTTATGTACCAGATACAGTTCCACTTACATATTTTTTGAAACAGTCTGTAAATGAAGGATGAATTAATTGAAACCTCATGGCTCTTTCTAGCTGACATGTGAATACTTTACAAACTGTTACTAACAGAGCAGAGAAACAGAATTTGCTGTGCCGAATGACTGAATTAATGGGTTTTTTTAATACTTTTTTCTTGCTATTTCTACTTTTGAAAGGTCCTAAACTACTTTTTTCCCTTGGTCCTTTTTGTAATGTCAAGATAGAACATGTATCTGCATGCCACCTTTCATTATAAATAAGCAATGCCCATTTGAAATGCACTTTCTCTCAGCAGTATGTATTGCCTGATTGCTGAAAGAAAGTGCAGCTGCAGCCCCTGAACTGTATCTTGGTACCAGGTTTCCCCATACAAGAAGTGCTGCCTGACCTTTACAGCATATGAACTTGGATAATTTTTCCTCCTTTGACCACCACCCCAGTTCCATCTTGAGGCTGTAACTCACTGTCTTCTGATCAGTCGCTGGACTGTGTCTAGGGGACCAGTTGTGGTTTTGGTTGACTGAAAGGCTTACGCCTGTCTCAGGCTTTAATACATTGCTGAGCAACAGAGAAGAAAATTGAGGATTCTGTAGAAGTGCACAGTAACTTAAACTCAGTTGTTTGTTACCCTGCTTTTTGAGAAGAAATAAAACACGAGGTCTGCTGCCTGGAAACCTATTGACATTTTTGAACTTGACTGCAGAAAAGGGCAGGGCAGAGAGACCAAGAAAACTTCTGAAAAATAAATAGAAATCAAAATGCAGGTTAGAATTTAGGCATAAGAATAGAAAGGTGTACCAGTATTGTGAAGTTATGAGCTGCTAATCTCAGTGTGTGTATCCAGGTATCCAACACTTGGAAATATATACCATGCAAATTGCATCTTGAAAATCATCACCTCTGTGACAGGATTGTCATCACAGTAAAAGAAACTGTTATTTGAAGTACCATAATTTTATGTTTTCTTTGGAGCTTTTTCAAAGGGAAAGAATAACTGGAATTTGGCAAACACTTCCCAAGAATTGAGATATTTCAGATATGCTATTTCCAGAAGTGTCTAAACTTTTGTTCTTTATCTTTAGGCTTGGAAAAAAAGTATCAGTATCATGTAAAGAGCTTGTACAAATACTACCTTGTTTTTATTGGTATGTGTGTGAAAGTTGGTATTGGTATTTGGATTCTAAGGATCGTGAGCTATTGGTTAGGAAACCAGCACATTTGTCTGAGGTTTCATTCTGGAACATTTTAATTTTATATTTCTTTGTTCTTAGAAGTTGGGCATAGCAGTATGTGGATTTCAACTGATGCTGCAACATCTGTTCTTGAGCCTCTAAAAGTAGTATGGGCCAAATGCAGTGGATATCCCTCTTACCCAGCTCTGGTAAGTGCCCAGCTTCCCAGAAGTACACTACTGACTGTTTCTGGTCTGAAAACAGACATATCTAAGGTAATTGGTAAATTCCCATTCAGGTTGAATAAATGTGGCTTATTCTGCCCTCTTTATTATGCGCTGAGTTTGTAAAGTTACTGCAATACCAGATTTTAAGTCAATAATTTCTGCTACTCTGCCAGCCCTTTGAGATGTGCAGTACTCCTGTTGTGCAGCTAAGCCTCCTGCAGCCACTTGCTCACCCCTTGTGGGTGGGGGGAGGAGTTGGAAGAGTGCAAGTGAGAAAACTCTTGGGTTGAGATAAAGGTAGTTGAATAGGGAAAGCAAAAGCTGTGCACACAAGTAAAGCAAATTCATTCGCCACTTCCCATGGGCAGCAGGTGTTCAGTCATCCCCAGGAAGACAGGGCTCCTTTACATCTGGCTTGGGAATACAAACACCATCACGCTGAATGTCCCTTCCTTCCTCCTTCTCCCCCAGCTCTACATATGGAGCATGATGCCATATGGGATGGTCTATCCCTAATGTCAGTTGGGGTTAGCTGGCCCAGCTGTGTCCCCTCCCAATTCCTTGTGCATGCCCAGCCTCCTCACTGGTGGGGCAGTGTGAGAAGGGGAAGAGGCCTTATTTCTGTGTAAACACAGCTCAGCATTAACAAAAACATCTCTATATTGTCAATGCAGTTTTCAACTCATGTCCAAAACATAGCCCCATACCACCTACTGTGAAGAAAATTGTCTCTATCCCTGCTAAAACCAGCATTCTTGTCTCAGTAGTCTTTGTTTCTACATTATGTATTATTTTTGCTGCAAAATGAGTATGAAAACACTCTTGAAGCTGCAGCTCATTAAATAAACAAAAAACTCAGTTGCCGGAATAAACTGCAGCCAATTGTGTGAATGATGTACTGGAAGCTTAAACTGTTGTTAATAGAGGAGATATATATGCTTGTGTGATAATAAAGGAGAAACAGACACAGTTCTGTTTACATCAAAGTTTGCAGAGAAAATATGGATGAGGTTTGGCTGTAGGCATTTGGGGTTATATGAGTAGCTCGTACACTGGCTTGATTTATATAAGTCTGGATAATCACGGCTTTTAATATGTGTGTTCTAAGGGTAATGTGAAATGTAATCATACAGTCAGGTTAAAACCTCTGGAGGTAGTATTCAGAGCACTTAAATCCCCTCAGTGGGTGACTCAGACACTTGGGTCAGATGCTGAAAATGTGATGATTGTCTCTTGAAGGATATTAGTGCTAGATTTAAACTGATGAAGACCAAAGGGTTCCTTTTGTGCCTTCTCCTTGATGTCAGCATTGGTGTTACTGAGAGTGGGATAAGTTAACTGAGGAGTTAAACCTCTGTCAAGAGAAAAAAATTCTTCTGATTTCTATGAGCTCCCCACAGCTTTCTATTAATTTATTTCCCAAAGTTAGTTTACTGTGGGTTAAGATTGGTGCCAGTGTGGATGGTGGAAAAACAACAGGAGTTCTTAGAGGAGGAGATGGGTAGAACAGGCATAGAGTAAAAACCTTTCTTTGGGTGGAAGCTAAGCATTTCATAATGCTGTGAGCTGCCTGCAAAGGAGTTTTTCCATCAGGATGGTTAATTTAACATTAGCAGCGTATTCCCTCCCTCAAGTTTTATTTAGAAAGACTTTGTGACTGTAACTGCAGGTTTTGCTGAACGGAGTCATTAAATTGGATATGCAAGATATTTGAAAGCTACACCTCGTTTTGGTTTTGTTTTTAAATTTTTGCTCCAGAGTTTGAGCATGTATTTTACCAAAATACTTATACCTTAATATAGGTTGGTTTTTTAAGGTATATGAATTACAAACCCCAAAATTTGACGCCAGTTACAGCTTCTAGAAATCCTGGTTTGACTTTTTCATTCTAAAACCTGCTTGTCAGTTCAAAGTTGTACTAAGTGGAATTCAAATGGGACTTCTAAAAAGAACTGATATGGGTGCAAAATGCTTTTTTCGGTCTTTTCAGTCAAGTCTGCCACTGGGTCTCCACTATGCCTATTCAGCTTATGTCAAAAAGTTGTGTGTAACACAAAGTCAGTTTATATCCAGTGACTGTTTAGTTTACTATTTATTTCTTGTTAACTTAATTTGTAATACCTTCTTAAAATCAATTGCATCATTTTAAAAATGAGGAACTGTCCTTTCTTCTCTCTTACAGATTATTGACCCCAAGATGCCTCGTGTTGCTGGCCATCACAATGGTGTTACTATACCAGTGCCACCTCTAGATGTACTGAAAATTGGAGAACAAATGCAGACCAAATCAGATGAGAAACTATTCTTAGTACTATTTTTTGACAACAAAAGAAGTTGGTATGTTATTGAAATGTATTGTTTGATGCAGTTACTTAAAATTTTAAGAATCTGTAGCTTTGGTCTAGGAAGAAAATTGAAACATTATTTTTCCATGGATATAATTCCTATGGAAGTTAAATAAACTGTAAGGTTAAAATTTCATATTTGAGTCTATTTTTGGACCAAGGTATATATCATCACTGAAAAATACCTCTTTATTGTCAGTTTGGAAAAAAGTATTTTAAGTCATTAAATAGTCTTTTTTTTTTACATGCGACTTTCATTTATTGACGTGATGAAATTCCTTCATTGCTTCATAGTTTTTTTTTAAAGTAATAGTTAACATTTATCTCTTTCATCCTTCATCATTGCTTTCTGAATTACAACACTTCTTCTTCCAGTCTGCTCAAGTGCATTTTCTTTGAATTTTTAACCTCTATTTGTTTCAATGCTTTATTAACACTTTCATTTGAAGTTCTTAAACTTTTCTAAATTCTTTTTTCATTAAATCTTCCCTATTTCCATTTATTTTGGCATCAGCAATATGCTGTGTAGACCCTAAAGGGGACAATTCACACAACAAAACATTCTCTTACCCTCCCCCATGGTCTTTGGTTTTAGGGCTGGTGGGGTTTATCTGTGGAGATAGGAGGAGACACACGAGGTTTTTTAGTCTTCTTTTGGTTGCCAGGGTTGGTTTTGGTGGGTTTTTCCTAGGCATGGAAGCTTTTCATCTACCTTCTCCCAAACTATGTAATTTCTTTTCTATGATCTCTGTAGACCCTCTCCTGTCCTAGTTTCCATGCAGGTCAAGCTAACTGTAAATCTGTCCATGTCTCGTTTTTCTCTTGATTTTGCTTGCTTTTAGCTATCACTTTTCTCTTTAGATGATTGTATGTGGCATTGAGTGATGCTGCCATTCTCCTGACTCCCTCTGTGCCAGTACAATATCACTTAAATAAACTAATGCTTAAAATTTATAACTGGTGTTTGCTCTCCTGCCCCTTAAATTTTTTGGCATAATTTTTCTGTTCTTTAGTTATTTTCTTAATTAATTGGTACTTTGTCTTAATTATCTTTGTTCAGTTGCTTAGGAGTCCATAAGATCCTGCATTCTTCTGCCTTTGTTTGCAGAGAACATTGCATTTAAACATACTCTGCCTTGTTTCTTGTTTTTTTTCTCTTACTGGTGCTGCCAGTGTAATGCATGTTTTCCCTGGTCAGTTTCTTAATAATTGCTCTGATTGCTTCTTGATCTGGGGAGTCCTCTGCAGCTTAAACTTTTCTGATTAGTCTCTATATGCAGGTGGTCTTAAATCATGTAAACATTGTGCAAAGTTGTCTCTAATGGGTACTCTGCATAGATGGACAGGAAAAGACTCAATTCTTCTTCCAGCCCCTTTCCTCTTCTCCACCTTGATCCCACCAACTTGTTTTGGTAATGATTATTTTATTGTGATTTTTTTTGGCACTCATAATTCTATCTCTGCTGTGTTCCTTTTAGTCTTGAACCCCTGTTTGTGATTTTCATTGATTGCAGGGTGTCTGTCACCTTCATTCTGTGATTTCAGTGTCTATCCCCAATGGATTTTCGTATTTGTTTCTTCTTCTTCCCCACTTACATCAGGAGGACTTGCAAGGCTTTCTTTTAAAAATAACTCCTTAAAGCTTCTTCTATCTGTATTAAAACTGATAATGGTTAGACTGATGCTTTCCATGCTATTATACTGTGTGTCCTTATACTGACTCTTCACATTTTATTTCAGTGTGTGTGCTCAGTACAATAGAGCTCTAGTTTAGAGTCCTTTAAGAAAATGAAAATAGCCTATTTTTTTAATTGAAAAGAAAATTTTTGCACATTTGGCTGTCTGATTTCCTGTTGGTTTGGCTTCAAATGGTCTCCCTCCCAAGCTAATGTTTTTATACAAAAGGAGGGCTTCTGCCTTTTGCAGAATTGGGATTGCAGAGTACAGTAGCATATCTTAAATATATTCATTAATTGACCTAATTTTTGCTTTCCTCAATGACTGTGACTTTGGAAAACAGAATTACAATCAACCTTTATGAAAATGACATAAATTTAATTTATAATTTTAAAATAAATATTTAGAATGCTTTAACTAGAAGAACAGGATGTAGAGCTTTTTCCATTATCACTCCTCCATGCCCAGAATTTGAAGACATTTATGGAGCTTGAAACAGAAAAGGACCCTGAATACGGAGCTAGTGGGATTTCATACTGCAGGGTAAAAGCATGCTAAAGCAGAACTTCCTTGCCAGCTTAGCTTTCCCCATAAAGAACAAATCAAGATACCTGAAATGTATGGCAAAAATCCATCATCTGAAAACTCCTTGTAAAAGAGATTGTGTCAGGTGAATCTTGAGTCATGCCCATTGTTAGTTGCTGCTGCCTGTTCTTTAACTGCATCAGTATTTTAGGCTAAGTCCTTTCTATTGATACTTAATCACTTAAGTACAATCACAGAATGTATTCTCTGTTTTATGGAAGAGATTTTCTTAATATTTCATGCTCTTTGAATATTTAATGCACGTAAGCACTATCTTAAAAGGTGTTTTATTGTTTTGTTTAAGATGGTGAAGCTGATGTGCGATATCAGAAACATGGCATAGTAGCCCTGACGTTTCTGGACAGATTTCTTGATCTTATTCTATATTTAACAGATTTATTTTTTACCGTTTTCTTACAGGCAGTGGCTTCCCAAATCCAAAATGGTTCCCCTTGGGATAGATGAGACCATAGACAAGTTAAAAATGATGGAAGGACGTAATTCAAGCATACGAAAAGCAGTAAGAATTGCTTTTGATCGTGCTATGAATCACCTGAGTCGGGTCCATGGAGAACCAGTCAGTGACTTCAGTGATATTGACTAACAGAGATTTTCTAGCAAGGCATGAAAAATACCACAGAGACTTGAAGTCTACTAATGAACCTCTTTGTCTAAAAGAATGTATTGAAGATACAACCCCTTAATTGTTGATTCAGTGGCTGAGTTCTGCAAACTTGAAATAGTTGAGCAATTCTTCTAAATCACCATTGCCATATTGATTAATTATTTTATTGTGTTGTAGATTGGAGGATTTTCCACTAAACCTGTTAAAATGTCTTGTTCATAGTGTTCATAATTGTACATAAATGTATATTCAACACTTAACTTATTCTGATTTTAGAAGTAGCTCCTTAATTCCTTTTATAATTTTGTTGGGGAGGGAACTGGTTTTTGTTTTTTCCATGCTTTTTACTTTTTTTTTTCTTTTTTTCTGAGGTTAAGTTACCTAAGCACCATCTTTCAGCTTAAGGTGTTTAGTGGATCGTAAAGCCTAATATCAAAATGGCATCAAATATATGTTTGCCTAAATCATATACAGTATGGTGCTGCTTGTATAATTTCTTCCTTGGTCTGTAGCTTCTGAAAAAGACTTCTGAATGTTTGTGTAAGTTGTTGCTCTTTGCACAAAGTACCACATATTTAAGATTGATGTAAATTTACAATTACAAATATGTATTTTAAGAAAGGAAATTGCATTATTTTGGAGGGTACTTTGTGAGAAAGACATCAATAAAAATTATACTATGTACATCACTTGCAAATCACCAAAAACACTCCATTGTTGCCCAAAATGACTTAAGGTTGTTACTGTGTTAAACAAATCTGGCTTAAAGCCTGCAAGCATATGATTTCTTTCAAAACCATATCCCATTTATCTCCCATTGGTTTAATTTTGTTGATGTGTGTGCCTCCCTGTGTTTTATTTATTGTAGAAAATGTATTAATTTGCTTTATAATGAAAAATAAAACTGACAAATATATTGATATGCATTTTTATACAGGCACATGAGAAGACAATTTGCTTTGGGAGAAAAATGTATTGGAAATTGTATAAAATAAGTCGATGGTTTGTGTGTAATTTGGTTTTTTGGTAACTTGTAATCTTTTGTTTCCAATGAGGGGATTTATGTAACTTTTAATTTAGAACACTTTGGTAGCAATAGAAACTTTGGATACATTTTTGTATGGTACATGTGATGTATATAGAATTAGTACTTTATTTTTATTTTTAAGAAGTAAAGCATTATGTTTGGGCAGGGGGAAGAAGGAGGGTGGGTTTCCAGAACTGCATTTTTATATTAAAAAGAAAAAAAAATAAAGTCAAGATATTGATTGTTGTAGCTACTTTATTCCTACCTTCACTGAGATACTGAATTTGTAACAATGAAATGGCAAGGTATGTTTGCAATGTGATTTATAATGGCTCCATTATTTATAAATGCACTGTGTTTGAACTCTTTTGCAGTGATATCGTAAATACTGTACCAAGTTATATAATATGAAACACCAAATAATGCATATGAATGCACGAAGTATTTATGCCCAGCTTTTTTATAAAGGATTAGCAAATACAGCAAAACCAATACTTTTTAAATCTTTTTTTTAAAACTTCATTGAATAGCATACTTCATTGTTAAACCTGCTTGAATCTTTATTTTAAAGGGACAATTACTTTTTAAATAGTTTTTAATGTTTTTATTCTCTATTGTTTGTAATACCCCCGTAGAAGCTTGAAATAAAATTTCTTTCTCAACTGTAAATTTTGTCCTGAATTTAGCCCCTCAGATTTTGCTGCAGTGCCCATTTTCTTACTCCACGACTGAGCTGTTCCAGAGGCACTGAACCGAGAAGCTGAATGTTCTCCTGTGGCACCCAGCATTGTCCTCGCTGAGCCCTTTGCAAAGGAGGTATTCCAGTTAGCTGAGACCAGTTGCCTGTGGTTGCCTGTGGTGGACCCTGGTAATTAAGGCTGAGTTGGATAAACTTCACAAATGATCAAGCAAATAGTTTTCTCAGGCTTGACAGCAGACACAGCTTGAGGGAGAGCAGTGATGGCAGGTACCCTGGAAGGACCATCATTGAGGTATGCTGCTCTGAAGGCCACAACAGCCACATCAGTTAGAAAAATTAAAATCTGGTTGTTTGCATTAAGTATAATGACTTCAAGGATCTGACATATGATTATGCTCTTCTTTAAAGGGAATGGAACCTAATTTGGGCAGTGTTGAGACATTAGAAACACTTGTCATCATTAGGACTCTGTTAAAGATATTTAAAAAATACGCTACATCGAATTTTATTTCAGTCTGGTTCCACAGAATGTACTCAGATTTTGTGTGTGTGAAACTAGATAATGATTCACAACCTCATTTTGGTGCACAGAGAAATGGGGTTTTTTTCTGTCTTGGACCTTGGGAAGCTGAAATGCAGTTACAACAGAAGCTGGAAGATGACAGTACGTGTATGATAAGGATGCTGATACCTGTGAAATACGAAGTGCCGGTAAAAAAGAAAGCACAGAGTTGCAAAATGATTCTTCAGAAGGCTTCCTACATTCTCAGTTGCTTTGCACACTAGCAACATTACGGGGGGGAAAAGAGCTCATCTTTTTCAAAATAGAGCATAAATTATTTTTGCTTTTTTTTTTTTTTTTAAATCACATCATCAGGGAAAGCTCTAGTTCAAATTTTGCCCAGACTTCTGAGTCTTATTTTATGACTTTTCCAGTCAGAGATGGTTTCATCAGTTCTTGGAGAAAGAAAATGTGCTGGCTTCATCTTACAAGGGACTGTATGCACTTAAAAGAAAACTTAACTGATTAAAAGAAGCTTGTTAAGTATCCTGAAAAAGCACGCTGCATCTTCTTCTGATGAAACTGGAATGATGGGCTCATTTATTTTTGTTCTGGTTATGTGGTGGAAACTGTCCCAGGAATTCCTCCCAGACCCTGTCGAGAGGAGGTTGCAGCAGTGTCAGTTGCTGTTCCCATACTCTCTTGTGATGAAATCAGTATCATCCAGTGGCTCTTGAGATTGGTTAAAGCTTAAAATAATTTCTCAGACTTGCCAGTCTTTAGTGTGACTTGGGTGTTTTTAACAGATGTCATACCTACTTATGAAAGGAAGTCTGAGCTCCAAAGCTGCCTTATTTCAAAATTCTAGAGCCTAACCAGATACAGTAGGCAAATGAATGTGTGCATATTAGAGTGTACTTCACTACTTTTTAGACTAGGTTCTTCTATGATTGTAATAATAACAATATAGAGTGTAGATTGGTATTCTAATGGAGAGAAAAACTGGAACACCACATTCTGGCTTGCCAGCTTCTTGAGGAGTGTTACAGTTACAAGAACAGGGTGTAAGTTTGCACATTCACTGCTCAGTTCTGGTGTGATCATTTCCTGTTAAAAGAAGTGTGAGACCTACATCATCAGTTGAAACTATGTGAAAATGTCTTTTCTTGTATCAAAATATGAGCAATTATTTTATTAGTATTTAGGGGGGGAATGTGACTAGAGAATAATGGGTTTTTTTAAAGTTTGTTACCGACGTCAGTGATTTTTTGGAGAATGTTGTGATTTTCTGTCTTTTACACTAGAGGGAGCAATACACATGGACCATCAACATCTACAAAATAAGTATTCTGTTTTTTCTTTTCAAAATGCTGCTATTAAAACTTGCTGCTCGTAAACAGTAAGTCTTCTTCACTTCTAGTGTTTCTAGTCCATCAAAAGTAGTTTTCTCTGTTCTTGCTGCAAGGTTCTTGCCCATGTAAGAACAAACTTTCTCACCCCCACTATATGTGTAACAGAAAATACAGAAGTGAAATGTAAATGGAGGAGACATTTACTATCCACATCTAGCTTAGCACCTTTGGGTTGCCTTGTTTAGATTGTTGTTTGACATCATTCAGTTGATATGTCTTGCCTATTTTATCAGTTCTTCCTTGAAAGGAAGAACTCTAAAACTTTCAATATAGAGAAAGAATAAATTCAAGGTAATGGAAGTTTGGAAAATAATTATTTTGGAGTAGCATGAAGCAAAAAAACTTTTTAAAAACTTTTGGGAGCTAGTATTTGATAGGAAGGGGCTGTAAATTTATTTTTGCCTACTTATTCAACTTTTATTGTCTGTGCACAGAAACTGCTATCAAATCCCTGATGGTCAGGAAAGAAAACGCAGTATCTCTACAGCTGTACTTTAACACTATTCACGATCTTTTTCAATTGTTTCTATGTGTTAAACTAACAGTGCAGTGATTGCAGTCACCTCATTCTATTTTCTTCTTGTACTTCATGGAGAGAGGCGACAGAATTAGAATTTTATTTTCCTTTTAATAATTTAAAATATTCTTTAATTTTTTAATTTATCCCCATGATATCACATATCTTGTCATCGCACTGCTGCTCTGCTGCCTTTGTGCTGCTCTGCTCCTTTTTATTTTCCAGTTCCTCCAAGCTCAGCTCATTTTTTGGTCGTTTTGATCTGTTTTGAAGTCTTCACTGCAGCAAGCCAGCACTTTCAGCAAACCAGGGAGGTCTCCACTTACTGGGCTGAAGTGGCTAAAGTCTGCCTATACAGAGAAGTCTGGGGTAATGTGAATAGTTTCCATGTCCAATCTTTGGTTGCTCCTCTTTACATGAAATTTTATGTATTGATACCAACTTTTCTCATCTCTCCTACTGAGCTGAGGTTTTGGTCTTGTCTCAGCTGTCTGGAGCCATTCTCCACCATGAAGGGCTTCACGCTGTGAATTCTGGGGAGATGTAACTGTACTCTCTGTTCAGATTCCCTGGTAACAGTCCCAAATAGGTTTAGCCTGAGAGGATGGGTTAGGAATGCTCACATGCCTTCCTCTCCTGTGGTCAGTTACTGGGTCCTTCACTCCTCCAAACTTGGCTTAGTGAGGAGACATTTACTGTCCACATCAAACTCTATGAGGATAAGAATTTTCACAACCTTATTAAAAAAAAAACCAAAAACCAGAAAAATCTTATTTAAATCCATGGAAAGTATAAGGAGGACAAAGGAAAATCTACACTTGTCATTTTAATGGGAAAACAGTTGCTAATAGATGGTGCAAAGATGATTAAGGAATGGAGTTGTTTTGATTGATGATTTGGGCTTTATTTGTCACTGTATTTGAGATTGTGACAGTTCATTTCTTCAGACTCCTTGTTAAAAAAAGTTCATAATACCCTTTTTTGTAATTTTGCTTTAGGGCCATGGAAACTTCATGCTGAAGTAGATGGAGAGCCACAGGAACATGAGTAATTTCTGTCAATAATCAATAGGGAACTATTGAAAAACATTAGCAATTTTTTACCATGAAACTTGTAGGATTTGGGGACTTTGAAGATTGTGTAATTTTTCAATGTGCAGAGTTCACAGAGGTATTGTAGCACTGTAAATTACTTCAGTTGTAAGAAAACCAATAATGTCTCTTTTTCTTAGGAAAAGATGAGGACAGTGACAGCCCCTGACCCACACCTAGGTTGGGAGGCAGGAGGGCCTGGATCAGGGCGGAGGCCATAAAGGATGGGGATTTGGAATTCGCCAAAGACCTTGGGCACTTCGCGGCACTGGTAGCGAGGGTGAGGGGAGAGCGGCCCAAGTGGGAACAATTACCTTATGTGGAGGTGAAGGAACTGAGAAAGGCTACAAAAGACTATGGGAGGGATTCTCCCTTCTTTAAAAACGTGCTTGACCTTACCTTCTCAGGGCACACGCTTGTCCAACATGATTTAAAATATATTGCTAAGTCCCTATTTACCCCCACCGAGCTTTTACTATGGGAAATCCAATGGAAGAAGCTTCTGAAGCCTCTTCTGAAGAAACACAATCTGGCAGAGGCGCTCGGTGAGGGGGAGGAGGGACTTGAGGCTATGGCGGGGGAAGGCGAGTTTGCCCAGCCGAAGGATCAGATCCTGCTTCTGGTGGACCTCCTAAATGACATCAGGGAGGCCGGCAGACTCGCCCTTTTGAAGATCCCGGATGGCAAGACCCCCCTTCCAGAGCTTCTCGACCATCAGGCAAGGCCCCGAAGAGTCTTTTATAAAATTTGTGGACCGGCTTAAGGAAGCCATTGACAGGCAGATAGAGCATCCGTCGGCGAGGGAGGAGCTCCTTCGAAAGATGGCACTCACCAACTCAACGGCCGAGACCAAGATTTTGAGGACTCTGCCACAGGACCCCGAGCCCACCATTGCACAAATGGTGGAGGCCTGCACCAAGGCAACATCTACTGAGGGCATCGTCACCATGGCCGTAAGTAGGGGGATCGGGGAGGCGATGCTCAATCTTAACACCACGCGCTGCTTTGGGTGTGGCCAGCTGGGCCACATCCAAGCGAACTGCCCTCACTGGCCCCCGGAGCGGCTATATCACTCATACGCTCCCTCCCCAAGACCACCGCCCAGGAACCCTTTCCCGCATTACCAGCAGGCGGGAAACGGGCCGCGGAGCGCGAGGAGAGGCCGCGTGAGGACACCAAATGGCCCTTCTCAGCGCCCAAGTGTCCCCACCATCCGTGAGGACCAGTGGCCCGCGGGACAGTTCCGGAGGATTGGCGGAGCCACGACGACAGACTTCGCCTCCTCCGGAGAACAGCCAATTTAGATCTAGGCAACTGCCAGGTCCTCAAAAGCTCCATCACCATCACCCTCCAGGATGACGACCTGGTGAGAGTTCCCGCGGGGTTCCTGGAGCCCCCTTACGGCGGCGGCGAGGCGACGGCACTTCTCCTTGGTGACAGCAGGCAC